CCCCCCCCCCCCCGGGGGCCGCCCCCCCGGCGGGCAGGGGGGGTCTGTGCGGGACAGGCGGGGGATTTGGGCAGGGGGGGGTTCCTGCCCGCAGGATGCACCACGGCGTTGCAGCTGGGTCCACCCCTCCGCCGGTGGGCTCCAGATCCCTGGGAAGATGTCGGGGGGCGCATCTCATGCCAGCGGTATCCTGCACGCCTCCATCGCCCGGCACACCCCTGCGAGCTGCTGGAGCAGCTGCTCCCCCTCGGTACACCTGGAAAGGGTAAAATACCAAATACCAGCACTGTCGGCATCATTCTCCATTGAAAAGCAACGGACACCCTCCCACGGGGTGTCCCCAAGCCCCGCACTTGCAGCCCTCCATCACCAGCGCCTCTTGCCCCAGCCCCAGAGAGCCCCTGGCCGGGGGGACCCCACGTAAAACCTTTTGGCTCAAGGGATGGTGCTACCAGCTCCGTGCAGGGGCTGCAGCTGCGGCTTCTCCCACGAATCTCCCCACTGCAAACCCTCTTTGCTCCGGCTTCCCCGGCCCTGCCAGACCAAGCCACTGCAGGGCTGGGAGGTGGAAGTCCCAGCTCCCATTTCTGGCTTTCCTCTCTTGCATCAGACAGGTCTCTCTGGACTTTTTAAAATGCAGGCAGTAGCTTTTACCCAGTCTGGTCAAAACACACTAAATCTAGGGTCTGCTCTAAGTATTAGTACTGTTATTTGGTAATGAGCAATAAAGTACATGAAGCATCCCGGGGCTGTAATGCCCAGATAACAGACTCCGAGCAAATCCCTGCCCGGCTCCCATCCACTTCCATGAAACCTGCTGCTAGGGACTAGTTGGGCTGGATTTTCATTTACTTGCTCAGCTCTCTATTCAGCTCCGACACTGGAAAATTACTCTTGGGTGCATTTAACTGTTTTACTCCTCTTTTAAACCTCTTAAAATAATGTGGAACAGCTGTTGGGTAAATGAGAGCGAGGTCCCCTCTCTCCTTTTTTTAATCATCAGCATGTCTTACAGCAGCATCAAACGTTCACCACAGCAGTCTGGGAGCAACTGGAAGGCATAGTTATTTTTTTTTCCCTTATATATATATTTATTCTGTTAAGACTGCCCCGCTGTTCCAGCTGGACCATAAAAATCCCTTTCAGGCTTAGACTTGATTTACAAGGTCACAACCTAGGAGCGATTTATTTATTTATTTACATGCTGTTTTTTTAACCCTGACTAAAGGCCACACACCAGCGCGGACCTGCTGCTTGGCAAACCATTCCCTCGCGTTCCCATGGACCTTGCTTTGCTGCTCATCATCTGCTGGACTGAAATGCTGTCCTCTTTTCTGGGAAGGGTGGGAGGCATGGCATCTTCAAGAACAGAGGGAGACTTATACTGAATGAAAAGCAGAAGGATTGTGGCTGGGAATATTTGTCCAGGACTGGTATCTGTAATTCTGATTTTAATAATCTGAAACCAGGTTAGGACAGTGGAGCTTTGAGATAGAAACATTTTTTTTTATTTTCTACATCTAGCTGGAACACTTAAAGTAAGTACGAGCCCTGCGGTGCATCACCACACCAAAGCCTTCACAGCTGAGATGCTCGGATGGATTTTGTGGATGTGCATAGTCCATTTTAGTGCAAAATCAGCCAGATTAAAATCTGATAAAATCTTAAATACTTTTCTCAAGATGACACTGACAGTGGGAAGCAGTGTTGGGGCTGCCATGTAGCTGTTTCCCTTGCTATTCCCGGAGCATCATCCATCTGTCATCTGTTCAGATCCATTATTGCTATAGTATCCTTATACAGTTAATAAATACCATAACCTAATCAAATGCCGGCACTTTGCCTATCAAGTTATCCTATCAGACCTCCAGCTGGAGATCCTTATCCCACTTAAAGGTTGAAGAAGTAAAGGAAATTACCAGCAAGTATGCAATAAACCAGAAGACGCATAATTGTGCATTGCTTCCCAGTATCTTTGTTGGTTCAACAAGTGTCAATCTGGAATGCCAGATCGGAGCTGGAGCCAGAACGTCTTTGGAAAACAATGCATCTCCAAAGGAAAAAATAAGCAAATTTTATGATTTCTGTACAGAACATCCCTCTGGCCCTTGCAGCACAGAGCAGCCAAATGATCACTGTAGGCTTAACCCCTTTCAGAGCATAACCTTTTGCAAATCTCCTTTAACTCAAAATTTCCTTGGTTTTTTGAATTTCAGGCAGCTCCTTAACATGATTTTAATATAGCTCTTTGTTTGCATATTATTTAAGGATGTCAGGTCAAGAGAAGAGCTTCCAGAACTGAAATGGTTTGTTTCTACTTGCTCTCCTGATCAGGGTTTTTAATAAGCAACTAATTTATTTTTTCCTTTGGAAATCATTAAAAAAAAAGGCCCAAACTCTCAGTAGTTATATTGCATAGAGGATAATGGATAGATCCGATGAGCATCCAAATGTATTGCATTTGAGGAACCTGTTGGCATGAGCTGTGAAGCTTCAACATTTCAGGAACTAAAGTGGGTTATCTAGGTATATTTTTAAACCCAGTCCTTAGAGATGCTTTGCACAGCTTCCTGCTTTTCCTCTTGCTTCTGTCCATGCAAAACAGATTGCAAGCTGAGGGTCCTGTTCCATGGGCATGCATCTACATACACAGCGCTGCCCCGGGGAATGTCAGCAGCACCAGCAGTGGGGCAGGAGACTGGGAATGGGGCTGGGCACTGGGGCTAACCCCTTCCTTTGGTGTTGGGGCAGCTGGGGCAGCACTGGGGGCAGTGGATTTGCTGCTGCCAGCTCTGTGTCCTGGGGACAGGCAGGTGACTTGCTGCTGGAGCCCATCCCTGGATCTCCAGGGATGCTCTGAGCTCTGCGTACCATGTCTTGGCACTCTTACGTGGCCTGCAAGGTTGGTTGGAGAGGGAGGATGATGGCAGGAGAGGTGATGAACATGTAAGGAGGGATGGTGGGGTTAGCAGATTGGGAAAGTGAAGAGACAATTTTAGCTTGTTGAAGACATAATCTCTTAATGTATTTGGAGGAAGAAAAATTGTCAGGGAGGGAGAGGAATAATTTAGATGAACACAAGGAGATTTAATGAGTGGTAATGTGATGAAAGTGAAAATTTGATATGAATATCTGAAAGAGCTTTTAGGATGTCAAACCCATTAGGTAGCCAGGAGTAGCAGTGACTGTCTCATCGCTTGGGCCTTTATAGCTAGGTTTGACAAAACTCTAATTCTCAACTTTGAGTCAGATTGCATCATGTCTAAAATTTAGACTTTTCCAGCTCTTACTTTTGGCTGTAACATGGCTTCTCACCATATCTCAGCAACTTGGATCTTGATAAGTAATCTTCAGTTTTCCCCATGCAAAGAGAAATAAACTCTGTCATCTTTGCTACTGGGTAACCAGCTGGATTTAAGGAAGCTTTACTGGAGAAATGAAGCGAAGGAGCAGTTTCTCTGTGGCTGTGAGGCTGGCGTCAACAGAACAGAAATCTCCTGTGGGCCAGAAGCTGGGATGAGCAGTTGCCTGCCAGGAGTGAAGGGTGACCACACCGCCACTTATGACCCAGAAGGATCTTGTCTTCCTTGTCCAGCCTTGGTCTAGTCATGCCCTCATTGCAATCAGATTCAGGGACCACCATTATTAACATAATGCCCTCTTAAAATATTAACTGTTCATTCTCTTAAGGCATTAGTCAAAGCCCACTGAAATGCCTGGAAGGCCTCCCATCGACTTCAGTGAGCTTCATGTTATTGTCATTCTTTCTCTGAAGAAAAAGATCTATGTAAAAGAAAACTAAAAATGCATCTGTTGTCCCTTTTTCTTCCTGCTGTCCTCCCAAATCCCTTTATAAACTTAGCATACACCTGAGAAACCATTTTGTGTTGGTTACCTGGACAGTTTGACTAAAACCAGAACTGAGAGACAGCAGATGAGAAACAACTCTGCAAGTCTTCATGTGAAGTGGTCAGGCTTCACCCTCCCTATGTTGTCCCAGGAAGAAACTGTCACTTGGCTCTATTCACATTGGACATTTGTTATTAGAGAAATAGAGACATGGTGGAACATTGCCACAAGATCCATGTCTCTTGTTTTTAAAATAAACATCTTGGCTTTGACTTGACGTTTATTTTCCATAAATGCCTCAGCTTCAATTTAGTATTTCAGCAACAGCGGGAGGCTGTTATCCTGGAATGCAATTCCATTGACATTATCTCTTGATTACATGTGATAGTGTGCCAGATGCTGCATGTAGTTGCTTTTAGTTAAACAATGCCACGAATATTTAAAACAAATGTATTAAATAACAGAAATGTCCATACTTGCCAAGCCTGTATTGTGCATGTGACACCATAATTACATGAGGTACGCTATGTAGTAGTGTGTGCTACATTAGTAAGCACACTCTGAGTTTGATTTAGGGGGTCCAAAGCAGTGAATGCCTATTAATTCCCCTTGACTCGACACTGTGGTTGATGTGTTGGTTAGCATGTACAGGACCGAGCATATCAACATTTTGAAAAGCTCTAAACCAATCTGCACACACACAAATAAGTCCTGCTACTCTGGAAGACCCTGCCACAGTAACCCAGTCCTTGTTTAGAGCACTTTTTCATCAGGAGACCCTCTTACAAGGATGCTGATTCATTAATTCCCCCCAGGTGATAGAAGAGATGCAATGACTCTCTGTCTTTCTGTCTTTCTCCCATACACTGAGTAAAAAGATGCTGAGGAACAGCCAAGCCACGGCCTCCTTGTCTCCTGAAATTGGTGCTGTGTTGTTGCTAAAAAATCAAACCTCAGGAAACTGCTGAGTTTGACCAGTGAGTTCAACTCCATTCAATCCTCCCAGAACAGACTGAGAACCCTTTTTTTGCCTAGTGCCCTTTAGAAGTGCCCAGATTTTGAAGATCCCCTGATTACCTTCGTAGGATTGAGGCCAGGTCTCTATTTTTCTTATATTTCATGAGAATTATGATACGTTTTGTAATCCTACCCACAATTTTAAAGAAATGTAGGGCCCTGGACTGAGGTTTCATTAGGGAAGTGAAGGAAGGGGCTGTTATGACTCTGGAAATGTGTCCCTTTCAGAAGGTGGGCTTGGTTTTGTACATGAAGTTTGGACTGGGAGTAAAACTTCTGGCTCATGCCAGGGGTATTTATTTGTCACACAGAAGCCTAATACAAAAGGAGTTGCACCAATTTATGCTATTTGAAGAGCTGGCTCTTCATCTATCTAGCTAATAGTTTTCGACATTCCCTCCCCCAGCCTCACTCCATATATCTCAGAGGAGGCCTGCAGTTCAACTTTGAAGTATCTCACCCTGGAAAAAGTCTTATTTCACCTTTCTCAGTGACGCTTTGCCATCTGCATGATCTAGACTTGCTGTTGCTGACTGGGCCCCTCACTCATGTCCCAGTTCATAGAGTGCTTTTACCATTGTGTTACCATCCACCCTGCAAGAATGAACTCTCCTTGGGCAGAAGTAATGGTTGACCCTTGCAAAGAACAGAAGCTAGGTTTGGTATTTCTGGAAGCAGAGTATTCTTTTTGCTATTGATGCAATTTTCGTAAAGTTAATACCCATAGTTATTTGACAGAAATGTTTTATTTACAATCTGGACTAATATTAATCTGGAGCAATAATAATGCATTCATTAATCCAGATTATTACTAGGAGTTGCCTTTAATTGCTCCATTTGCCAGGTCTCACTGTCTGCATCTCGCTGTACTTTACTTTCTTGACAGCCAGACTCTTCAGCAGAGATGCTGGCACTGTGAAAAAAGCCTGACTAAGACTGCCTCTTTTTTAAGCATCAGCGATTCCTTTGAGAGGGGTGGTGAAACATTTTACAGCAGGCCAGAAAACACTGCGGTGGCCAGAGCCTTTGTTTATACAGAGAGATTGTGGTCAGAGACCAGACCAGAGGAGTCCTCTGAGATTTTACTCTAGTCTATTCCTGCTTCAACGCATACTGGCTGCAAGAAGTTGCTTTATTTCTTCTTCCCAAAGCTTACCCATCTGTAGGATGAAAGGTGCATGCTTTGGGAGATATCATCTCACATTTTAATTGGAACAAAAAGCTAATCCTTTACAAGCACCTCCTGAGGTGTGGATATGAGGTGCAGTGAAAAGGCACAGTGACAGTGTTTCGGTGTCAAGCAACACGCTGGTTAGTGAAGTGTGTAAGTCAAGAAACCATTTATTTCCCCTTCACATCATGGAGGACTATAGCACGTAAGCTAGTGGCTAGAATGTGCAAAAAGACTAGTTCAGATGGCTTGGGATGGAACCAGCATTTTCAGATGTCTGGGAAATCTGTGTATATGTTCTGGATGGCAAAACACTGACTTGAGCAGTCAGTGCTGGGGGTCCAGCTCCAGCTGGCTGTGATGGTGGGTGCGTGGCTAAGACTGATTTTGACATCTGGGCAGCCGGTGTTGTTGGCTGAGTGTCTCCAGATTTAGGGCTGAGGCTTTGGATTCTGCAGAGAAATGGGTTAGGGCTCCCACTGGGAGAAAATATATTCTGGATTTTTTTAAGCAAGAAAAGTCAATTGCAGTTCATGCTAACTTAGGCCAGCACCCTGGGAAAGAGCTCTGAATAGCTGAGACTGGCACAACATGCAAAAAAGCCAAATGGTTATTCCTTTTTGGTGGCATTAAGAGTGCCTTTTGAAGCTTTTGGGGGATGCCAAGTTGCAAATTTTATTAATCAAACCTGTCTTTCAGGCAGTTCATAATATTCAGTGACAGGCTTTTTCTAAGTAACAGTCCTCATAAGTTGCCTTAGTATCTTTTAAGACAACTAAAGCCAATTTTTTTAAGAGGAAAAACAAGCTTGTCTTAGATTTCATAAGCAGTAATCACTGCCTGTTAGCATCCATCTGTAGTCCTGTATGTCCTCTCAGCTAGCTATCAAATACACAACACTAACCTGCCATGCCATATGCTCAAGTAGATACTCTCCTTACTACGCATCGAACAGAGCAAAGCTACTTTAAAGTAATGAAGGATGTACCCCTCCAAAAACTATGAGGACCCCAACTGCTTTTATTTGGTGCAAATAATCATAGGATTAGCTAAAAGAAGAAGAAATAGTATGATGCATCAGTGTTAGATCAGTGTCATGCAGAGCCATGTGAGGTTGCTATTATGTAACGTAAGAAAACCCAAAAGCTAACAGTTATCCCTAAAAAATCTATCCGTGGAAATCTATTCAACAACTTTGGTTTAATTCTGTGTTTTGTTTTTTTTTTTTCCCCTAACCTGTTGCTTTGAACCTCTCTGGTAAATGTCTTCGATATCTAGTTCTGTAAACTGCTGAGAAAGTTTAAACATCCTTAACATTAACCTTCGATATAGTCATTGCATGTCATTGAGTGAAAACTCCGGTGGTTCAATTGTCGCAGAATAAACGGTTGACTTGCACCTACCTCAGATCTGGGTAAACTAGCCTGCTACCTAATTAATGTCCTGCCCTGGCTGACTTGCAGACCACCAGAGTCCTCTGGCAAGTGGGAAAGGAGAAATGCTGGCATCCTGTTATATCTATTTCTTCTAAACACATTCACTGTGTTTAAGCCAATGCTTAAAGTAACACATGTGCTTCTACTAACCTCTTCTTACTGACTATGAGACACCCCTGCTGATTGCTGAACATTCCTTGGTGGCCTTGGTACTGCTGGTTTGGATTAAGCTGTTTGTCACCTATGCATGTTTTGCTCTTCAATAGTTTTGGACAAGAGCATGCCCTTTTTTCTTCTATCATCTATCATAAAATCATGCTGAGATAGTGATAAATTGCTTCACTGTTCACCAGTTTGTGTATCTATTTGTAATAACAAATTCAATGATGATATTCCAGCTCTGCAGGTAACAGCATATTTCTGATGGTAAATTCTCTGCTTAGGTACCACCCATTGAGAAGTATGTCTTCAGTCTGCATTTAGCACCAGACACCTGGCATGATAAGGTGGAGTGATCAGCATTCCTCAGTTTCCTGGAGGTAAAGTGAATAAACATGTGCTCTGTACTTCTGAAAATCTGGCCAGAATTTAAAGCTATAGAACTACCTCTTTCAATAAAATGATCATGGTCTTAAAACACAGCTAACTAGAAATAGAGCTGAAGTGACCCTGCGTCTGGCTTTGGTCTCCATGTCTTTCTTTTCATCATAACTTGTCCCAAAGTCTTTTCTGAGCTAAATTACTCTCCTGCATTTAAAACCCTGTGTTCTGTTGGCATTGGAGTCTGACAATAATCTTGTCTGACTATAGTCTTTGCCCAGAAATTTGTATCTGATTTTGTCTCTCTGTTATGGACTCCATAAACTCCCGAGCAACAGAGCATGATCCGCATGACAGCCCAGCCTTGGCAGCTCCAGTCCATCCCCGCGCCTTTCCTGACAAGCCGTGCTGGTGGTGCAGTCACCAAAGACTTCAGGGCTCCTTCACGTATGGTGAAGCCACAGCACTGGTGAAGGAATAAGCTTAATCTTAAGGTGTTAAAACTCAAGAGATGG